AATTAATATATATATATATATATATACACACACACTGAGTGGCCAGATTATTATGACCACCCCATTAGTACTTCGTTGGGCCACGAGATAACTCCACGAGATGACTTCATTGGGCCGCCTCGTGACTCCACGAGATGTTGAAAGGTGATGCGAGGAATCTGACACTGCACTGTTGCCCTTCTGTTGTCTTGTACCAGTCTTGCCACTCTCCGTTCTGCTGTTTTGCTGATACTCGCTCCATGGCTCGCGCCAACAATCATCCCACGTTCAAAGGCTGTTAAATCGCGTTGTTTACCCATATCTTCACTTCTACTATCATGGTAAACAACCTGCTTCCCTATTTATAATGGTCTGGCCCTCTAGCAACTTCAGGGCGAAATTATAGCTAATTTGCCAACAAACGTCAGGTGGTCATAATAAACTGGCCACTCAGTGTATATGTATAGGTATGTATATATTTATTTGCGTTCATTGAACAGAGATCTTTAGATCTTGATCACTGGGTTATAGAGCCACCTTCTGGAGTATGACACTAGGCACAAAAAACAAAACACAGGCTAGGGGCGGCCCCTGCTGGTGGCAAAACCCTTCTGCTGGAGGCTGCCCAGTTTTTTGCTTAGTAGCAAGCAGTAAGGACCTAAGCTCCCTGCTGGGCATCTTGGTTCCCTTTTATCTTGGAGGGAATCCTTCCTTTTGGTTTTGATTTTTTCTTTAGTCTTCAAGACCTTCAATAAACAGCTGAGCTGGGTGACAAGCTGGATGATTATAGATCCTTGTAGTCATCCCAGCTCAGCCAGTGAGCGTATGCAGATCCTGAGCTATGTGCAGGGTCGGCTGCAACAGCCCTATTCTGGTTCTAAGGGCAGCCTGTGAGTGTTCCTCATGGGGGGCACACATGACAGAGTGGCATGCTGTAGACGGCACCCCCCTTTAAGCGGATAGCAATTTGTCTCGGGTAACGCAGGAGGGAATTTATCAAACTAGAGCAGGCAGAATCTGGAGCAGTTGCACATGGCAAACAATCAGCTTCTCTCTTCAGTTTGTTCAGTTAAACTTTGAAAATTGTAGATAAAAGCTGATTGGCTACTGTGGACAACTGCTCCAGATTCAGCCTGCTCCAGTTTTAAAAAAATTCCCCTCATGGTGTTTTACAGTATAATAGTAATTTCTTTAGACCCCACTCATACCTGTGAATGGGGCCAGATTGCAGAGTCTCACCAATTCCTCCATGATTCATTTGATCTGCTGCAGGCAGGATATGGTAATCTAATGACCGCTACAACCACCCACAGCTGTTCGCAAGTAATTGCACTGCTGATGACAACATCTGGACGTAGTCTGTTTGCAAAGTATTGTACCTCCTCATGTATCACTTCCCCCTCCCTTTTAGATTGTAAGCCCTCCTTACCATCTTGTCTTGAATTGTATTGTGATTGTAATGTCTTCCTTATAATGTAAAGCGCTCCGCAAACTGTTGGCGCTATATAAATCCTGTATAATAATAATAATACTGCGATAGGTTTTTCTTTGGTTGTATATCAGTCTTGGATAATAACATAGATCAGGGTCAACTGATAGACTATGGTTTTCATGGTATCATCATATAAAGCAAGTGCTAACCCAGAGGTACACAGAGGTAGCTGTGCAAAGCTCAAGGTGACCACATTCCTTTCGGTTGTGCTTGCAGACTCTTTACACTATTATGTACATTAAATAGTCCAGACAGCATTTTTGTGCTGTACATTACATACCACTGATTGATTAAGTGTAAATGCATATCTAATCCCAAAAACGAAAAGTTGATCTCTGCAGCTTACCCGTCTTTAGATATGGTGTTTTTCTTTAGGGTTTTTTACTTTATTTTCACCTGGTGATCCTGCCAGAATGCTTCCTGTCCTGAGTATTCACTCAACTGTAAGGAGTCTATGGAGCAGCAGCAATGTCACCCTTGAACAGGACTACGGAACACTTCCCCTCTTTTAACATAGGGGATGCGTTTTGTTGTCCACAGTGCAAGCTGGGAAGAATGTCCCTGAGAAATGTGCAGCACAGGCAGAGAGCACAGGACGTTATCAGCCCTAACTAGGGATGCACTGAAATTTCGCCACCGAAAGATACTGTCCGCAAATTGCACTTTTGGCAAAATGCGAAAGTACTATCTTTCGGCCGCAATTGCGGCGCATGCCTGTTTCTCTGCTCCCCGCTGGGTACTCCTCTGTGTCCCCTCTGACACAGCACAGAGTTCAGCAGGGAGGAGAGAAACTGTCAGAGGAGGCCGAGCGGTGCGGGGGAGGAGAGCACTGTGAGCAGCTGGCGTGTCACAGGAGGCTGTGACGCACCGCTCAAATCAGGATGGAGAGCGGTGTGGGGGCGAAGACAGCTGTCAGCACTGTCACAGGAGGCTGAGCTCTCCTCCCGCAGGAGGATGAACCGGCGGTGTGGGGGAGGAATCAGCTGTCAAAAGCCCGAGCTCTCCTCCCCGCACTGCCTGCTCTGCATCCCGTGACAGCGGAATAAGGATGGAGAGCGGGTACAAGCAGTTACTGCTTGTAAATGATTGAGGACAGAGTATGTTTACTGCTATACATCACTTCCTGTTCATTCATGATTGTGGAGATAGTAAACGTACTATCTCCACAAGTTATGAATGAACACGATTCCTGTATATTCATAACAGGGGCTGCAGAAAAAGAGATTTGTAAATATATATTAAAGAAAAAATAAAATATACCAAAATTTAGACAAAATTAAAATCATTTTCAGTTTGACATTTTTTTAATTTCGGTTTCATTTTTCAAAATTTCCTTTCGGTGCACCTCTACTTCTTAAAAAATATTTTCAATGGTATATTTAACAGACCAAAATACATACACTTTAAAATGACCCTGCACCTATCCCAAATTAATTTAATTGCAGCCAACCTGTAAATGATTAGGCTGAATGTCATATGGGCAGTAAGGAAAATTTCCGCTTGCTTCAAAAGCTATGGGTGCCACTTCTATCCAACTCTTCCAGGTTTTTCCTACAGACCTCAACATCCTTACACAACACAGTAGTGACGTAGGAGTTGGTGGGAGGAACCACAGCGTCTAGCGGAGGACATGCTATAAGACATGGAAGTGTTGGACAGCAGAAGCACCCAGAGCTGTTGAAAAGAATTAAGGTTTCCCACGCTGCCCACAAAACAGGTAAGTATTCAGCCTATTCTTTTACAGGGTGCCTACCATTTAAGTCTTTTTGGATAGGGACAGGGTCACTTTAATTGTCTAGGTGCAATTATTTTTTATAATTTTTTTTCCATTTTAACTTTTTAATTACATTTTTAAAGTAGGCTCAAACAATGTGTTTGCTGCATTCTGCATGTTTGTGTAATAAACCTACATAAGAACATTTTTCAATGTAAATTCCAAAATGGGAAGGGATTGGCTTTGCCTGAAGATGAGCTTTAACCCCTTAGTGACTCAGCTTCAAAAAATGTTTTCGCTTCTGGGGACTGGAGCAATTCAGGAAACAGATGTCTTGGTCTGCTCCTGCTCTTCATCCTGACATGGTATAACATGGCTCCCGGCCCCCCAAAGGAGCAGGGGACCGCAAAAACTATGGCGGGGGTTGGGGAGCAACGATCACTTGTACTTGACAAGCTGAGTCGACATTGTAAGTTCTCATTGGGGGAAGCTTTGTGAGCAGCGCCTGCCGGGCCCTTGTCCTCCCGTTACCCTAAGGAGAACTATGGGGAAAAGCCCTAACCCCATAGTTCTACTTTAATAAAAAAAAA